GCCCACCGCACCTATTTCGGCACACACCCCCACACGCTTTGTGGCATCATAGGAAACTCCACCGACACACCCAGTGGCTGCGTTCGCATGCGCCCGCCGATTCCCATGTTCGGCACGTCTCGCAGACGTCTCGTGGCCCATAAGGAGCCCCACCGACGGCCCCAGTGGCTGCGTTCGCATGCGCCCACCGCACTTCTTTGGGCACACCCCGCACACGCTTCGCGGCCCAATGGGGAGCCCAACCGAAGACCCTGGTGACTGCGTTCGCACGCGCCCACCGCATCCATTTTGGCACACCCCGCACACGCTTTGCTGCCCCACCGGGAGCTCCACCGACGGCCCCAGTGGCTGCGTTCGCATGCGCCCACCGCACCCAGTGTGGCACCCCCCTCGCACGTTTCGTGGCCCCATAGGAAGCCCCACCGACGGCCCCAGCGGTTGCATTCGCATGCGCCCACCGCACCTCTCTTGACACACCCATGACACGTTGCGTGGGCCCATAGGGAGCTCCACTGACGGCCCCCATGGCTGCGTTCGCACGCGCCCACCGCAATCATGTTTGGCATTCCTCTCACGCGCTCCGTAGCCTAATAAGGAGCTCCACACACGGCTCTAGTGGCTGCGTTCGCATGCGCCCACCGCACCCATTTTGGCACACCCCTCACACGCTCCGTGGCCCCATAGGGAATTCCACCGACGGCCCCAGTTGCTGCTTTCGCATGCGCCCACTTCACAAATTTCGGAACACCCCTCACACGTTTCGTGGCCCTATAGGGAGCTCCTCCGAATCATACAACGACGGTGCTCACAACTGCAGATGGTCAATCGCAATGCTAACATTTGAACATAGGCGCTTTGATATATGTTGGAGGCAATGTTGGGGGCATCTTGGGAGGCGTCCGTCTTCGAAGCATCGTGGAGCCTCTTCGGGGGCATATTGAAAGCAAGTTTTGAGCCACTTGGTGGCTTCCCAGGGGCCTCTTGGGCCTGGGTGACTTTGGGGAGCCTCTTGGGGCCTTTGGGGAGCCTCTTGGGGCCTCCGAGGGGCCTCTTAGTTTTCCTCCGATGCGACTCTGCGGCCCCTTTGGGGCCTGTCCTGGGGCTCTCTTGGGCCATCTTGGGGGCATCCTGGGCCGTATTGGGCCTTCTTGGGTCGTCCTGGAACTCTCTTTGGGGGGCCTCCTGGGCCGTCATGGGAGCCTTCTTGGGCCGTCTGTGTGAAATTCCAAGGGGCGACTATGCTAAAAATATACGTTTTCCGAATGGAATAGGGCGGTTGTTGCTTCTTGGGGCCCTCGGGGGCCTCTTTGGGCGTCTTGGGGTGTCTTGTCGCGGTGTCATTTGGGGCCGTCTTGGAGCTCTCGTGGGGCGCTTTTGGAGACCCTGGGGACCAGTCGCAGGCTACCTTGGGCGGTCTCGGAAGAGCCTCTCGCTTTCTGGGACCCCCCGGTGGTCACCAGGGGAGGTCACCGCTTAGAAGGGGCACGGACGCACAAGGGAGGGGCCGAGGGGCCGGACTGGGGCCCTGGGCCCGGGATCTCCCTTGCAACACAGAACCGCGCGCGCGCTTCGCAACATCATGTCGTCGGACAAGTTTCGCTGCCGGAAGGCACATATCGTCACGCGGATCGTGCCCCTCAGGCGGCTCCACCTGCGGCCCCAGAGATAGGCTTGGCTTAGCGTCCCCCCGCCCATGTCGGCACACCTCTCGCAGGGATCGCGCCCCACAGGGAGCTTCGCCTACGTCTGCAGAGACAAGGCTCGCATAGTGGCACACCCCTCAGGCGGATCATGCCGTGCAAGCAACTGCATTCGTGGCACCAGAGGGAAGCTCTATAGCGTCGCCCAACTCACTTCGGCAGACCTCTCACACGGATCGTGGTCCACAAAAAGTTTCACGGACGGCCTCAGAGACAAGGTTCGCATCCCGCCCCCCCGCCTACTTCGGCACACCTCTCACACGGATCGTAGCTCACAGGGATCTCCACCTTTGGCCCCAGAGGCAAGGTTCGCACTGCGCCCCACCCCCATCTGGCGATTGCAACACAAACGCACACACATACCATCACGCGGATCGTGCCCACAAGGAGCACCACGTAAAGGCCCAGAGACATGGTTCTCACAACGCCCCCCCGCCCATGCCCGCACACGCGAATCAGTCTCCAAAGGAGCTCCACCTAGCACCAACGGGCAGCTTCGCATGGCGCCCCCCTCCCATTTCAGAACATACGGAGGCCCCAACCTGGGCCCGGGAAAGTTCGGAGATCGTCTCCAGGACAATGAAATCATTGAAAAAACGTATGTGTTGCAACACGTCTCAATTCTGGGGCCTCTTGAAGGCTTCCCGGGGACCTCTTGGGTGTCTTTAGGGGGCCTGTTGTAGCCTTTGGGGGCCTCGTGGGGCATCTTGGGGCCTCCTGGGGGCCTCTTGAGGCCAAGGCTCACAATGTGAACTTGGCTTTCCTCCTCTAGGACCCCTCCTGGGCCTGTCCTGGGGCCCTCTTGGGCCATCTCAGGGGGCCGTCCTGGCGCTCTCTCGGTTTTTGCTTCTTGGGGCCCGCTTCGGGGGCCTCTTGGGATGGGGAGAAGAAAAATAAGGATGTGGACGAGAGACAGAAGAGCACGATAAACAGAAGAGCACGAGAAACAAAGAGAGAGAGAGAGAGAGAACGGACAGCGAGGGATGGGGGAATCGGAAACGCACTCTGGGGAACGAGGTGGGTCGGAGTTCCACAAAAACAAACTTGAGGGAATCATTTGTCTTCCAGATTGGCTCTGGATGCCCCCAAGAGCACCCATGATCGCCCCAAGAGACCTCCAAGAGACCCCCAAGAGACCCCCAAGAGCTGCAGGGAAGTCCCCGAGACACCCAAATCATTGCAACATCTGAAGGATATATATATATATATATATATATATATATATGATTATTGTGTGCTCGCATCTTCGCCTCCAGTGCGCTTCTCAGGCTTGCGCATGCCCCCGTGAGCCGCTCCAGAACGCCTCTTGGGGGCATCTTGGAGCTCTCCTGGGGGCGTCTTGTGAGCTCTGAAGGGCCTCTCGGGGCCCTCTTTTGCGCTGGGTACCTATTGGGTGCTTCTGGGGCGGCTCCTGGGAGCTTTCCGGGGCCTGTTCGGAGCGTCTTGGGGTCCCGGTGGTGTCCCTTCGGGCGTCTTGTGGCCTCTTGGGGTCACTTCGCGCCACTCGGGACGCCTCTTGGGAGCCTCTTGGAGCTCTCTTGGAGATCATGCTCAAGCCTCGGAAGCGTGTCGGAGGCGGAAGTGCTAGTGAACAAAAAGCCACTGATCCCCTTTGAATGTTTCAATGATTTGGGCCTGTCGAGGGGTTGCCCGGAGCTCTTGGGGGGACTCTTGGACGGCTCTTGGTACGATCTCGAATGCTCTTGGGCGCCTCCAGAGCCGTCGGAGGGCCAGCTTGGACATCCTTGGAGCACTCTCGGGGTGTCTGGGAGCTGTCCTGGGCCGTCTCGAGGCCCTCTTGGGGCTCCCTGGGATCTCCCTGGGCCTCACCAAGGCCCCAAACTGGCTCGCGAAATAGCTCCAGGACCGTTCCCAGAGGGCCGCGTGAAGTAGGTACCAACCAAATGTCCGTTGGTATATAATTGCCGGGGCCTTTCTGGAGCCCTCTTGAGGCCCTCTTGGGCCATCTTGGGCGCCTCTGGGCCCTCCTTGGAACCCTCGTGGCCCGTCTGAGAGCCCACTTGGGGCGTGCGAGGCCGCCTTGGGCCGATCATGGGGACCTCGTGGGCCGTCTGGCACATCGGAGCATCAAACAGGTGATGAGGCGGAACACCTGGAGAAACCATAGCGTCTGGCCTCTCGGGGTATTCTTGGGGTGATATTCTGGGTCTCTGGGGGGCGGCCCACCCCCTTGTGAGTGCCATCTTGCCGATGCCGAAACCACCTTGAGCGTCCCTGGATCGGTCCCGAACAGTCTCGGGCGCCAAGGTGCCGCCCAGGTGGGCCATCTTGGACCCCTCTTGGCCCGCCTGGGAGCCCTCTTGGGGGCGTCTGAGGCCGCCTTGGGGCCATCTCGGGGGCTTCGTGGGCCGCCTCAGCACACCGGAGCCTCGAAAATGCGGGGAGGCCAAAAAAGCCTTGGAGAAACACATGGAACACCACAATTTCTAACCTCTCGGGGCTCTTCTGGGGGGCGCTCTTGATGGGTCTCCCGGGCCGGCTCGGTGACTCCTGCGTGCCACCTGGCCGGTGCCGAGACCATCCTTGGGCGTCCCGGTGTCGTTCGCGGGCGGCCTCGGGCGGCCAGGGGTCGGCGGGGGAGCCGTCCGAGGGGCAGGGGCCCAGAATGCACAAATGAAATGGGGCAGCGGTCCAGGGCCGGGAGGCCGGGATCTCCCTTGTATGTTATATAGTTGTATGTATGTATATATATATAGAGAGAGAGAGAGAGAAAGAGAGAAAAAGAAAAGAGAGAGAGAGAGAGAGAACAAAAAGAGAGAGAGAGAGAGAGAGAGACACACACACACACAGACAGAGAGAGAGAGGTAGAGAACAAAAAACAAGCAAAAGGGGTAGTCGGTCCTGAAGGCCCTGGGCAATCAGGGGACAGCGGAGGGAGCGTCTGGCTCCATCGCGGGGAGGAATGGAGCGAAAGGAAAACGGGGAGGCGAACACGTGCCAGGCTCACCCCGGTATGCGCGCGGGGCAAGACATGATGAGCACAGGCAGCAGCAGCAGTCAGGAGGAGCAGGGGCGGCACCGGGGAGCAGGAGGGGAGAGCCGGAAGAGGGCAGGAAGAGAGGAGGAGGAGGAGGAGGAGGAGGCGGAGGGGGAGGAGGAGGCGGAGGAGGGAGGAGGAGGAGGAGGAGGAGGAGGAGGATGAGGGAGGAGGAGAGGAGGATGAGGGGAGGCGAGGAGGAGGAGGAGGAGGAAGGAGGAGGAGGAGGAGGAGGCGGCGGAGGAGGGGAGGAGGAGGGAGGAGGAGGAGAGAGGGGCGCGGGGGGCGTGTCGCGCCGTCGCCTCGGGGCCCTCGCCGCGGCGGGCGCGCCGGGAGCGGCTGCGGCCGCCTCGGGCGGCGAACGTGCTGGCCAGCTCCACCTCGGGGCGGGCAGCCAGGATCGTCCCCTCCACCTGTGTTCCCTGCTCCTACCTCCTCCTCCTCCTCCTCCTCCTCCTCCTCCTCCTCATCATCATCATCATCATCATCATCATCATCATCATCATCATCATCATCATCATCATCATCATCATCATCATCATCATCATCCTCGTTCTCCTCCTCCTCCTCCTCCTCCTCTTCTTCTTTTTTCTTATCACTGCGATTCTTCTTCTTAGTATAACTTGCAGCATTCTCATGAATTGATAGTGCATCCGTGTTGTATTATTAGTGTTATGAGTATTCGTACTATCAAGATTATGACTAAACACTTTTGATTACACGTATTATTCGTATTGGAATTCTTCTCCTGGAAGTTATGATATTGGAAAACAAACCATAATATGTATACGGCTGTGGGGCTATAGGACTATAGTGCTGTAGGGTTATAAGGCCAATGAGGCTATCGGGCTGTAGGGCTATAGGGCTATAAGGCTCTGGGGCTATCGGGCTATAGCGCTTCGGGGCTATTGGGCTGTAGGGCCAGAAGGCCATAAGACTGTACGGCTATAGGGCTATAGGGCTATGGGGTTACCGGGCACCCGGGCGCGCCGCCGAAACCAGCGCCAAACTTCACCTAACCATATGAATCCGCGAGGACCCCATACAGAGGCAAGTTCTGATATGGGAACTAGTAATACTATTACAAGTCGCATTATTATTGTTATTACCAATACTACGAATATTATTACGCAGACCATGAACGAACCTATTTGGTTTAATCCTGCCCAACGGCCCACTCACTGCTTGGAGGGAGGGAGGGGCCCGCCCCATTTTGTGGCGAGCAACGGGAAGAGTCCGTCCTTGACATCCGCCCCTCGGCGGGGGAAAAACATGTAGGGTGGGTGGGTGGAAAAAGAGGGGCAGCAGCAGCCGCTCAAGCCAGACGGCTGCCCGGGAGAAGAAGGGAAGAAAAGAGAGAGAGAGAGAGAGATGCAGGGGGCAGGAATCCAGTAAACTGTCAAAGGGGGGCCCCAAGAACAGGGACACCTCCTGTCCTGCCCGACGGCCCACCCACTACTTGGAGGGAGGCCCGCCCCGTTGTGCGGCGGGCATTGGGAAGAGTCCGTCTTGGACCCACACGGCGCGTGAGGGCCCCCCTGTCCGTTCCTAATCGGGGAGACGTAAGACCCGGGTACGGGGGACTCGGAAATCCCCGACGAGGTCGTCAAAAAAATGACGAGGCCGAGCCTGCATTTTGACGAGGCCTCCCGCTGCAGACATCCCGCGAAACTCCTCCTCGTCAAAATCCGAGGCGCGGTCGTCAAAAAACGATGGCGAACCCGAGTCCTGGCAAACCCGGGTCTTACGCTCCCCCGAAAGAGTCCGTCTTGGACCCACACGGCGCGCGAGGGCCCCCCTGTCCGATCCTAAGCAAAAACAACAGCCCCTCGTGAGAGCCCGAACGCGCGCAGGCATCCGCGGGGCGCACCGACGGTGCCCCCGGGCGCCCGTGACATCCCGCGGAGCGGAGCCCAGCACTCCAAGGCTGCACGCAGGCGATATGCTGCGAGCACAAAACTTTACCTGGAGGAGGGAGGAGGGAGGAGGGAGGAGGAGGGAGGACCTCCAGAGCACCCCCGCTCGATGCGACTCGCCAGGCCAGAGGCGCAGCCGCCTACCCTCGCAGGGCGCCGTCGCGTCGCCCTGGGGGGGCGTGCACTCCCGCCCCCGATCGCACCACGGCGCCCAGAGGAAGACCCGCGAGACACCTTGGGCGTGGCTTAATGGGGGGGTCACAAATGGGGGGGTCAAAAAAGGTCCCCTTTCGTGCCCCTTTCGGGCCCCTCTGGACCCCCAGGGGGCTCGTTTGGGTACCGTTTGGGCACCTTCTCGGATCACCCGCGCCACCCCCCCATTTATGACCCCCCCATTACGCAACGCCCAAACCTGGGGCGCGCACCGCCCCTCCGGCGGGCGCACCCGCAGAAAGCGGCGCTCGATCCCGGCTCAACTTAAACCCGCCCAGGGGTTCCCCCCGGCGCCACACTGTCATCCTCACCCTGAAACAAAGCCCCTCATCCCGATCCGCAACGAGCATCGTCTGGGGGCGGTAGCCAATCCCCTGGCCGCCATCCCGTGCAGCCCCCTCCCGGGGCCTGGGAAGTGGCCCGCCCGATCTGCTGCCACCCCTCCTTTCTCGGGGCCGCCCACGAGCGCCTGTGTCCGCAGCCAGTACTGCAACCTAGGGTGTGGCGCCTTCCAGTGACCTTCCTCGATGTCCCGCTCCGCATATTCCCGCAGGCTCGCCTTAATGTGGAGCATTTTGCTCAATGCGTGTGCACACCTCGCATTCTTTGCGACTTACTACTGCAGGCACGTTGCCTGTTGTAGCTCATTAGCCTCGCCTGCTGGCCCAGACGACGCCTTCCGCTCCCTGTCCGCCGCCTCGGAGCCGCCGACCAAAAAACAGATTCCCGCAGGCGCTCGGACAGGACTTCCTCGCCAGAGGCCAAACCCTCACGGCCAGTCCTCCAGGAAGTGGCCGAACAATGTGTACACGACGAAGCAAATACGGCACCCAGAACCATGCAAAGCCAGCGACTAACGAGCCAAGGAGCGCTGTGTCGTACTCCAAGACCGCAGACATTGGAACGCACCTCGCTGGGGTCGACGTCGCCCCCCGCGCGGGCGGCGCCCCCGGGCACCTGCCCAGCGGACGGCCCCTCGGCGAGGAGGAGGAGGACGACGACGACGACGAGGAGGACGACGAGGAGGAGGACGATGAGGAGGGGACGGGGATGACGGGGAGGACGGGGAGGACGGGGAGGACGAGGAGGACGGGGAGGAGGAGGAGGAGGAGGAGGAGGAGGAGGAGGGGAGGACGAGGAGGAGGAGGAGGAGGAGGAGGAGACCCAGCTGCGCACGGGTTGTGGGGCCGCAGGGGCGCCCCCCGTCGGAGGAGGGGCGCCGCACCGGGCGGGAGGGGCTGGCGGGGTTACCGTCGGGGCGTCAACCTAAGGAGCCCTAAAGAGGAGGAGGAGGAGGAGGAGGAGGAGGAGGAGGAGGAGGAGGATAAGGAACGAGGCCCCTTTCTTCCATAGGTTAAACTTCGATTTCCCATGGAAAACCCAACGCAAACTGCAAAACAATCAGGGAACACCGAGCCCCTCCCCAACGAAAAGGGTTCCTTCTTCAGGGCCCCGACTGTATGTCTAGAACTTGCAGCACACAGACCAACGCCATCGCACACCAGCCAGAGCAAACAGCGCACGAGCCAACGCTGTCGCGCACGAGCCAAGGAAAGAGGCAAGCCGGCGCGACAGGGCAAGTCTCCACGACTGCGAACCTAACTCATCTAGAGGCCTCTTAGATGGGGTCGGAGTAGATGGGGTCGGAGGATCGCGCCGCATCGCGGATACATCGGCGATGCATCGGCGATGCATCGTCGATGCATCGTTGATGCACCGGATATGCATCGTCGACGTGGGCGATGCACCGGCGCCGTCGACGTGAAGAAAATCGGGCTCCACATCGAGCCGCATCGCCGATGCATCGGCGATGCGGCGCGATCCTCCGACCCCATCTACTCGGACCCCGTCTGGGAAGCCTAGATCATCCCCCTCGCCGCTCCGCTCCTGGCCGGGGGGGTGCTCCCTGCTCCCCGGGCGCGGTGAGGGCACCAGCCCGGGCCCGCGCCGCCCGAGGCGTTGCCCAGGCCCGCGCGCCGCCCGTGGCCACCGCTCGGACGTCCCTTCCCTGCTTTTTTTCAGTTTCGTGCGTGGTTCTTTCGCCAATGGATCAAGGATGCTCCTCGATGGTCCTCGCCGAAGGAACAGTTCGGGTCGGGCGAAAGGGGGGGATAGCAAAGGGGGGGTTTGAGAATCAGCTCGCGTAGCTGATTTTCCCGGCGCCTCCCGGCGCCGGAGGCGACCATGTATCGAGGAATGGGCCCCTCGGTGAGGCCGAAACCAGCTGCATGCAGCAAATTTCGTAACCCCCCCTTTCCCAATCCCCCCCTTTCGCCCGACCCGAACAATGCACACGTCCTAGCGATTCCAAGGAGTCCCCAAGGAGCGCCTTCCCCCTGTGCTTGTCCTCCTCGGGGGGGCCCCGCTTCCCCGATCCTTCTCAGCGCCGGCACGCAGGCCACCCTCTCCTCTTCCCATCCGACAAACAACCGCCGCCTCCAGTTGGTCCAGCGTCGGCCCGGCCACGGGGGTGTCTGAGAAAATTGACGGGGCTCTGGGACACACGAATGAATACACACACAAATAACAGGATTCCCCCTGTTTTCTCATGTTTTCTTGGTTTTTGTCTTCCCCCACACTTCCCATATTTTCCATTATATTTTCCTGGGGATCGACGATTAATTGTGTCTTTGTGTTTTTCCCCTCCCGAGAGATCCTGGACGGCGCGAGAAGCCAAACAGTAGGTCGGAACCCTCCTTCAGGCTCGCCCAGCACCGCGAGGAGCGTAGCCAGCAGGAGGGAGGGGTACGTACCCAGGACCTCCACCTTGCGCCAGAGACCCCCCCAGGACCTCCAAGAGACCCCCCGTCGCCTTCGCATGGTCCCTGGGCCTGCGCGAAGCTATACCAACAGCAGCTCTTCGTTTGAACTTCCGAACAAGCTCCCGAATGTCTTTGGCGAACCTGGGCTCCATGCAGAAATCCACGGAGGCAACTCCCTTAACTTCCGCCTGGACCTGGATCTGATGCGTGAGGTACCGGATCGGGTCAGGGTACCTGAGCCGTTGAATGGGGCCTAGGAAGATGGAACTTGGAGGGAGGGCTTGATGCAGTGAGTCTCAAAACTGCACGGGTCCTCCCCATCCCCCTCCTCGTCCTCTTCCTCCTGGTCTTGGCCAGGAAGCCATGCACCCAGACCCCCGACGTCGTGATTTTTTCACGACGTCGACCCCCAGAGGTCTGGACCCCTTCCCCAGGACCGGTTTTTCGTTCTGAGTCGTTGTTTGACGGTCCCGAAGGCCGGTAAGGGCCCCCAGAGGCCGAAAATTGCGACAAACCTCCCGTCGTGACTTTTTTCACAACGCGAGGGGGTCTGGGTACGTCGATCCTGGGGCCAGAATCGGTCTGGCCAGGCTCGGCGCAAGTGCATGGCTGACGCCCTTCGGCCTCCGCGCCCCGCCCCGCCCCCTCTCCTGGAGGAGGAGGAGGAGGAGGAGGAGGAGGAGGAGGAGGAGGAGGAGGAGGAGGAGGAGGAGGGGGAGGAGGAGGAGGAGGAGAGGAGGAGGAGGAGGAGGAGGAGGAGGAGGAGGAGGAGGAGGAGGAGGAGGAGGAGGAGGAGGAGGTCCCTTGCCTAAAGTGCATGGCTGACGCCCTCCGGCCTCCGCGCCCCGCCCCGCCCCATCCTCCCGGGCACCTCCGCCGCCAGCCTGCCCCGCGAGGCGTCCTGGGTGACCTGGAAGCGCACCTGGTCGCCCTCCCGCACGCTGTCCTTGCCGTCCAGCAGGGCAGAGGCGTGGCAGAAGACGTCCTCGGCCCGCCCCGCGCCGTTGTCCTCGACCTCCGGGCGGATGAAGCCGAAGCCCCTCTTCGAAATCCGAGGCAAGCGCCTGCGAGATCAGGAGAAGCCCTGGGCTGGAGGTCTGCCTCGAGCCTGCCTCGTCTGCCTCGAGCCCGAGACCGGAGCGGCGCGGGCTTCCAGGCCCAGGGCTTCTCTGCTGCTGCAGGTGTGCTTGGGAGTTCGGCCTCTCAGAGTCCCACTTCATCAGCGTCCCCAAGCGCGCCTTGCCGTCCGCGACCTCGCTCCTCCTCCGCCTCCTCCTCGTCATCATTCTCCTTATCCTTCTCCATCCCGTTTCCGTGTAAGCACCTCCTCCCAGCCGCACTCCCAGACGTGTCCGTAGGCGGGGCCGGACGTTTCGCCAGAGACTTCCTCGCCAAGACTACAAAGGTGCTGGGCTAATACGGACATGGTTGGCTGGTGGTTTTTAGTGTCAAGAGCGGCTACATCAGGTACGAGCAGTACATCGCCCACTCTGTGCCATGTGTGGTGTGGAAGCTGGCACCGATACCCACCGTACTTTCAGATGTGACTGGCACGCGCTGGAGCGACACAGTTGGACTGGTGAGGAGCGTATTTTACTGACGTGGGGCCGTGCAGAGCATGGGCAAGGGCATCCCTTCACGATGATGACTACCAAAGGGCTCATGCCAGATCCGACTTTCAATGCGCCGTTGCCGATCGTCGATGACATCATCAATTGGCACAAGTGTACGGTTAGTGGACTGATCAGCGGTGTGGTGTGCACAGATGGCAGCTGTATTTTTCCCCACTGTGAATTTCGAGCTCGAGCGGGCTGGGCTTTTGTGATGATTGATGAGGCTGGAGCTACAGTGGCGGCTGCATCTGGACCAGTGCCTTATCCTTGGCAGACATCTAGAGCAGGCGAGATCTGGGCGGCCACCAAAGCGTTGAGGCACAAGTCAGCTGGGCACATCACGATTGTAACCGACCACGAAGATCTCAAGAAGGGATCGGCACATGGTTATCCGTATGGGTGCAATGTTGGCTATCAGTGCGTGGAGCTATGGAAAGATTTCTGGCAAGTCGCACTTGACATTGGTGTTGCAGAGATTGAATTTGTCTGGATTCCCACGCACATGTCAAGGACCAGGGCCATCGACCAAGGAGACAGCTTGCCCTCCTGGACAGGTAACAGGAGCGCAGATTATTATGCAAGGCTGGGCGCCGACTGCCATTCCCGCGAGAAGTCCAATGAGAAGTTGCGGAAGATGCGCGAGGCGGCTACACCATTGACGTTGAACTGTGTACTGCGCATTCTGCAGCTGTGTCAGAAAGGCGGTTGGAAGGACGTCCAGCAAGTGAGTGAGGGAAGACCCGCGCGCGGGTCTCATGTCGTCCTAAGCGAGGATGGAGGCCATGTAATTCACAGGTTTAAGGGACGATGGGTGAGCGGGAGGTGCGGAAATAGTCGTGCTCGTCGTGGAGACCTTGCGCGTCTCCCGTGTCTTGGGGATCCCAAAGGGGTCCGAGAAGCGCACCCGTCCCATAACCTTTGGCGCACTGGCCCGATGGTTTGGTGCTTTGAATGCGCCGCCAGATGTGTGTCTAAGGCGCTTTTGATTTCCAAACCGTGTTTGGGGAGGCCGCCCCTGGGGTCTGCGAGGCACTTCAAGAGAAGGTGCCTCATCCAGGGGCGGGGCCCTTCAGGAGAGGAAGTCGGTAATGGTTTCAAGAGGCCTCTTCCGATTTTCGCGTGAGTTGTTCGTCGAGCGTCCGACGGGATGATGAGTATTGCTTGTTGGCCTGGTGCACCGTTCTCGGCACGCCTCGTCGCCATCCAGGGTCTCCAGAGCCTCCCCCTCCTCCTCCTCCCCCCTCCTCCCTCCTCCTCCTCCTCCTCCTCCTCCTCCTCCTCCTCCTCCTCCTCCTCCCCCTCCTCCTCCTCCTCCTCCTCCTCCTCCTCCTCCTCCTCCTCTTCTCCTCCTCCCCTCCCTCCTCCTCCCTCCTCCTCCTCCTCCTCGTCCTCCTCCTTCTCCTCCTCCTCCTCCTCCCTCCTCCTCCTCCTCCTCCTCCTCCTCCTCCCTCCGCCTCCTCCTCCCCCTCCCCTCCTCCTCCTCCTCTCCTCCTCCTCCTCCTCCTCCTCCTCCTCCTCCTCCTCCTCCTCGCCTCCTCCCCCTCCTCCTCCTCTCCTCCTCCTCCTCCTCCTCCTCCTCCTCCTCCTCCTCCTCCTCCTCCTCCTCCCTCCTCCTCCTCCTCCCTCCTCCTTCCTCCTCCTCCTCCTCCTCCCTCCTCCTCCCCTCCTCCTCCTCCTCCTCCTCCTCCGTCCTCCTCCTCCTCCTCCTCCTCCTCCTCCTCCTCCTCCTCCTCCTCCGCGCGGGTCTTCCGCGCGGGTCTCTTCGCCCGCGGCCTCCGACGGGTGCACGAAGGGCTCGCCGCCGTCGACCCGCCAAGGCCCGTCGCACCAGGCCGCCTCCCACTTCCCCTTGGGCGGCGGGACCCGGCAAGAGCACGGAACCTCCTCCTCCTCCCTCCTCCTCCTCCTCCTCTTCCTCCTCCTCCTCCCCCTCCTCTCCTCCTCCTCCTCCTCCTCTCCTCCTCTCCTCCTCCTCCCCTCCCTCCTCCTCCTCCTCCCCCTCCTCCTCCTCCCATCCCGAGATCCTGGAATCTCCAAGAGGCGGTGGAACCAACCAGACACCTAGACTCGAAAGCTGGGCGAGGGCTGCTAAGACCGTGGCTGTTTCAAAAGGCCCGCCCGGAAGGAGAAAGCAGCTTCCCGGAACGAGGTACGCGGCACGCGAGACCGGCAACGGGCTTCTTCCCGGAAGGACGAAGACAACTTCCCGAAGGCCGATTTTAGTAGCCACAGATTTAGCAGCCCTTGCCCAGCCTCCGACCTACACTCGACCAGGATAGTGAGGATGCGCGGTAAGGATGCAATGGCCTCGGAACGCCATGTTGACGTCTTCCGTGCGGAGCGCAGCAGAATGCCGAAGGAGGCCGAATACCGAAGGGGCAAGGATGCAAGGGTGGCCTCGGAAAGTTGCCCCATCCTTACTATCGTGGTTGACTGTACACCGATCCTGGTCGGGCTCATCCTGGCCCAAGATCGGTGTCTACCGCCCTCCTGGCTCGGGCCAGAGAGAGCAAACACACATCGATGCTGGGCCCAGGACCGGCGTGGCCGGGATCCGTGGGGGTGTGTAAAGCTTGTGCCGTGCGACCCAGGGCGCTCCTCCTGGGCCTCCACCTCCTCCGCCTCTGCCTCCTCGTCTCTGCCTCCGCCCACTCGCTGGGACGCAAAGTCCCGTGGAGCTCCCCTCCCCCTTCTTCGCGTCCTCCTCCACCACTTATACTTCCATCTCCTTCTCCTCCTCCTCCTCCTCCTCCTCCTCCTCCTCCTCCTCCCTCTCTTCATTCTCCTCCCTCTCCTCCTCTCCTCCTCCTCCTCCTCCTCCTCCTCCTCCTCCTCCTCCTCCTCCTCCTCCGCACATCTTTCTTCCTGGGCAGGGGGAGGGAGAGACACTGATTCTGCGTGTGTGTTTTTTGGGGGGGGCGAGGCCTTGGTCTCGTCAAATTCCTTCTCGAAAGTGACTTCGTCGCCCTCCTCCAGGTAGGCTGTGCAAGTTCCGCGAGTGTTTAGAACCTTCCGGTGCACGAACACGTCACCGCTGTAATCCGATGGTGTGATCCATCCGAAACCACTGTCCTGGAAGAACTTCCTCACAAACCCGCGTAGCATCTCTCCGCGCTTCTTCTTCTGCGTAGGCTGCGCAGGTTCCTCACGAAACCGTGTAGGATCGTCATCTTCCTCAACCATACTGGAAGGACGAGCCGACTAGCTGGAACAACGATGTCGCGGACCGAAAGCAACCCGACCGCAGCCTGACCCAAATTGCTTACAGAACTTCCAAGGAGAACGGCGAGGAACGACAAGTGATGGGTCGCCAGAGAAGGCCGAGGAAGAGGGGGCGACGAGAAGGACGAGGGTGAAGAGGATGAGAAAGATGAAGAGGGAGAGGAAAAATGAGGAGAGAAGAATGAAGAGGAAGAGGAGGAACATGAGGAGAGAAGGATAAAGAGGAAAATGGGGTGAACAGAGCAGATGTAAAAGGAGGAGGACGAAGGACGAAGCGGAGGAGGCCCTGGAAGGGGCGTCGAGGGAGAGAGCGAGAACGAGAGAGAGAGAGAGAAAAGATACGGACTGGAAGAAAACAATAAGAAAGAACGGTGGAGGGACGGAAGGAGAGAGAGACAGAGAGACAGAGAGAGGGATCAAGGGGAGAAAGGGAGGGGAGGAGGGAGGACTGAGAAAGGAAGAGGAGAGCCGACGCAGGGCGGAGAAAACAGGACGGAGGACGGAGGACTCAGGACCGATGGTTCAGGAGGCTCAGGATGGAGGTAGGTCGGAGGAGGGAGGAAAGACGGGTCGACGGGTCGGCGAACCGTGGCAGAACTCACAACGCTTCACTCCCTGCCTGACTGTCGGCAATCTCGGCGTTTGGCATCGGCGACCGTGGGGGGGAGCAGGAGGCTTTTCCAGGCCAGATCTTCAACTCTGAGCTCTTCTTAAGCTGGCTCGGGAAATGGAGCGGGCCAGAGAGGGCGGGTGCATTGTTCTCTACGCACCCCCACGCATCCATGCTGATTATCTACTTAGCTGATGTGAGCCGGTCTGCCACGCAATCCACCCAGCTTCATGTTTCGAAGGCCCAGGGCCTCTGTTGAAACTGCACACAAACGTCGCACCACACTGCGCGCGGCCGCGTGCGAATCGGGCCCGACAGCAGTTACAGAAGCGGCCAGGCGAGGCATTGGTGCGCACGTAGCGCCATCCCTTCCTGGCTGGTCGTGGCCGCCTCTTGCTGCACATCGGCACGCCGCCACATCGGAGGCGATGGCTTCCTCTGTGGGGGAGAGTGGGGAGGGGATCCACCCCCGTGTGGCTTGAGCTTGCGGACTGCGCGAGTGTCCTGGATGTCGATCGCGAAGCTTAGCTTTCTGTTTTCTGCTGTCGGCTGGCACTCGGGGAAGCGGAGCGAGGAAGGGAAAACGGCTGCACTGTACGCTCAGCCATCAGCCTCAGCCTCGGACCTTCGCTTCTCAGCCTGCTTCAACTCGCGGTCCGCGGCAACCGCTTCCAAAGTCGACCTCCTCTTCCTTACGAAGGCCGCTTTCCCCTCGATTTTGATGGACTCTGAACCTGGACGTTTCTCAGGCACACGATGCTGTTCGCTCAGCCATCCGCTGCTCCAGGGGTGAGCCCTAAGTCGGGCCTGTCCCCCTACAGGGGGATTTTCAACGAAAGATAAAAGATACCTCCCAAATAATAAAAAAATAGTCCAAAAATCGTCTGGGGACTATTTTTTGTTGTATGTCTGACCTTCTTGGGGCATTTTTGGGGTACCTTTGATTTTTCGCCGCAAGTCCCCCTGCAGGGGGACACGCCCGACATCAAGCGAGCCAACCCTGTCTCGCCAGCTCTCGCTCTCTCGTGCGCCCCCGCGCCTCGCGCGTGACCGCACTTGGTGGTCCCCAAACGTGGTGGTGAGAACACCCGGTGGTGAATTTGGGGCGATTTGGGTTCTTGTTTTCGAGCGCTGGCTGGCCCAGGAAACGCAAAACCTCGTGGCGACCGCGTGTCCCCAAACCCGGCGGCGACCCAGAATCATTTTTGGGGGGAATTGGGGTCACCACCGGGTGTCTCACCACCTGGTTCCCAGACCCCCGACGTAATGATTTTTTTCATTACGTCGACCCCAGAGATCTCGACCCCTTCCCCAGGACCGGTTTGTCATCCTGAGTCGTTCTTTGACGCTCCCGAGGCCCGGGGAGGGCCCCCAGAGGCCGAAAATGGCGAAAAACCTCCCGTCATGATTTTTTCATGACTCGAGGGGGTCTGGGAACGCACCCTCGCCGCCCTCACTAGAGGTCTCCTAGATGGGGTCGGAGTAGATGGGGTCGGAGGATCGCGCCGCATCGCCGATACATCGGCGATGCATCGGCGATGCATTGGTGATGCACCCGCGATGCATCGTCGACGTCGCCGATGCATCGGCGACGTCGACGTGAAGCAAATCGGGCTCAACATCGAGCCGCATCGGCGATGCATCGGCGATGCGGCGCAATCCTCCGACCCCATCCACTCCGACCCCATCTAGGAGGCCTAGACTCACGGCACCCTCCGGAGGCACCTCCCGAGGCAGACCTCTCCGCGCGCCGGCTGCCGGCGCCTCCCTCGAGCGGCCCGTGTCGCGCCGGCGCGCCGGCTCCCCTGACTCCAGATCCGCACTACTTTGGCTTTTTTTCCAACCTAAAACTGCGTCGGAAATCCACCTAGAAGGAGCCGAAAAAGTAGGGCGGAAATTTCTGCACCCAGCATATAGTAGGGCGGAAATCCACAGGAGCAGGGCGGAAACAGCAACAGAAAAGTAGGGCGGAAATCGGCATCAGCGGGGCTTGAAAAGTAAGGCGGAAATTCCAAGCCCTACTTACGAATTTCCCCAAAGTAGGGCGGATCCGGAGTCAGGGTCGGCGTGCCGCTGACGTCCGCCCACCTCGCCCGGCCCAGACCTCCTGGCGTCGTGAAGAAATCACGACGGGAGGTCTTTCGCTATTTTCGGCCTCCGGGGGCCCTCACCGGGCCTCGGGCTCGCCCGGCCCAGACCTCCTGGCGTCGTGAAGAAATCACGACGGGAGGTCTTTCGCTATTTTCGGCCTCCGGGGGCCCTCACCGGGCCTCGGGCTCGCCCCCCAGACCTCCTGGCGTCGTGAAGAAATCACGACGGGAGGTCTTTCGCTATTTTCGGCCTCCGGGGGCCCTCACCGGGCCTCGGGCTCGCCCCCCAGACCTCCTGGCGTCGTGAAGAAATCACGACGGGAGGTCTTTCGCTATTTTCGGCCTCCGGGGGCCCTCACCGGGCCTCGGGCTCGCCCCCCAGACCTCCTGGCGTCGTGAAGAAATCACGACGGGAGGTCTTTCGCTATTTTCGGCCTCCGGGGGCCCTCACCGGGCCTTCGGGACCGTCAAAAAACGACTCGGGATGCGAAGCCGGTCCCAGGGAAGGGGTCCAGACCTCTGGGGGTCGACGTCGTGACGTCGGGGGTCTGGGACCCCCGACGTAATGAATTTACCTAACAGCTTTTGCTGATAGGTTTCTAGTGGGGTCAAAAGAGAGCAGCAGATGACTCCACAGGGGGGTCGGGGCGGCATCCGGGGAGCTGTATCCGAACTCGTGTCCGAACTCGTTTTTTCCAGACAGTCACACACTTCGTGCTCTTCGACCTCCCAGAACTCCATTCCCGTGCCACATTCTGAATGCCCGGAGTCAACTGTAGGCCACTTCGTGCTCTTCGACTTCCCAGAACTCCATTCCCGGGCCACATTTTGGATGCCCGGAGCCAACTGTAGGCCACTTCGTGCTTCGTGCTCTTCGACTTCCCAGAACTCCATTCCCGGGCCAGATTGTAGGCCACTTCGTGATGCCATTCTCCAACTGTAGGCCACTTCGTGCTCTTCAAGTTCCCAGAACTCCATTCCTGGGCATGATTTTGAATGCCCGGAGCCAACTGTAGGCCACTTCGTGTTCTTCGAGTTCCCAGAACTCCATTCCCGGGCCACATTTTGAATGCTGAGGCAGGCTGATGCTGCGGCCGAGGCAGGCTGAGGCTGAGGCAGGCTGAGGCTGAGGCCGAGGCTGAAGGCAGACTGAGGCTGAGGCTGAAGCAGGCTGAGGCTGAGGCTGAGGCTGAGGCTGAGGCTGAGGCTGAGGCTGAGGCTGAGGCTGAGGCAGGCTGATGCTGAGGCTGAGCTGAGGAGGCAGGCTGAGGCTGAGGCTGAGGCTGAGGCAGGCTGAGGCTGAGGCAGGCTGAGGCGGAGGCCGAGGCTGAAGGCAGACTGAGGCTGAGGCTGAAGCAGGCTGAGGCTGAGGCTGAGGCAGGCTGAGGCTGAGGCTGAGGCAGGCTGATGCTGAGGCAGGCTGAGGCTGAGGCTGAGGCTGATGCAGGCTGAGGCTAAGGCAGGCTGAGGCTGAGGCTGAGGCAGAGGCAGCCTGAGGCTGAGGCTGAAGCAGGCTGAGGCTGAGGCAGAGGCAGGCTGAGGATGAGGCTGAGGCAGGCTGATGCTGAGGCTGGCTGATGCTGAGGCACGCTGAGGCTGAGGCTGAGGCTGAGGCTGATGCAGGCTGAGGCTGAGGCTGAGGCTGAGGCCGAGGCCGAGGCTGAAGGCAGACTGAGGCTGAGGCTGAAGCAGGCTGAGGCTGAGGCAGAGGCAGCCTGAGGCTGAGGCTGAGGCAGGCTGAGGCTCATGCAGGCTGAGGCTGAGGCAGGCGGAGGCTGAGGCCGAGGCTGAAGGCAGACTGAGGCTGAGGCTGAAGCAGGCTGAGGCTGAGGCTGAGGCAGGCTGAGGCTGAGGCTAATGCAGGCTGAGGCTGAGGCTGAGGCAGGCTGATGCTGAGGCAGGCTGAGGCTGAGGCTGAGGCTGATGCAGGCTGAGGCTGAGGCAGGCTGAGGCTGAGGCCGTGGCTGAAGGCAGAATGATGCTGAGGCTGAAGCAGGCTGAGGCTGAGGCTGAGGCAGGCTGAGGCTGAGGCAGGCTGAGGCTGAGGCTGAGGCAGGCTGAGGCTGAGGCTGTGACTGCGACTGCCGTTGCCACTGCGACTGTCATCGCGAATGCGACTACGACTGCGAGAACAGCAGAATTCTACAACTGGATTCTCATCCGAATCTTAAGGGGAATGCTTCCAGATATGCTCCTACACATCGCTGTTAGGTTGCTTTGCCGGGATAATTTGCATTACGTCGACCCCAGAGTTCTCGACCCCTTCCCCAGGACCGGCTTGTCCTCCCGAGTCGTTTTGTTGGCAATCCCGAGGCCCGGGGAGGGCCCCCAGAGGCTGAAAACTGCGAAAAACCTCCCGTCATGCTTTTTACCTAACAGCTTTTGTTGATAGGTTTCTAGTGGTCTCAAAAGACAGCAGCAGATGACTCCACAGGGGGGTCCGGGCGGGACCCGGAAGGCTGCCGCCGAAGCCGAAATCGCTTGGGACATCCTCGCAAAATCGCTCTTGGTGCTCCCAGAACTCCATTCCCGGGCCACATTTTGGATGCCTGGAGCCAACTGTAGGCCACTTCGTGCTCTTCGACTTCCCAGAACTCCATTCCCGGGCCACATTTTGGATGCCCGGAGCCAACTGTAGGCCACTTCGTGCTCTTCGATTTCCCAGAACTCCATTCCCGGGCCACATTTTGGATGCCCGGAGCCAACTGTAGGCCACTTCGTGCTCTTCAAGTTCCCAGAACTCCATTCCTGGGCATGATTTTGAATGCCCGGAGCCAACTGTAGGCCACTTCGTGTTCTTCTAGTTCCCAGAACTCCATTCCTGGGCCACATTTTGAATGCTGAGGCAGGCTGATGCTGCGGCCGAGGCAGGCTGAGGCTGAGGCAGGCTGAGGCTGAGGCCGAGGCTGAAGGCAGACTGAGGCTGAGGCTGAAGCAGACTGAGGCTGAGGCTGAGGCTGAGGCTGAGGCTGAGGCTGAGGCTGAGGCAGGCTGAGGCTGAGGCTGTGACTGCGACTGTTGCCGCTGCGACTGTCATCGCGAATGCGACTACGACTGCGAGAACAGCAGAATTCGACAACTGGATTCTCATCCGAATCTTAAAGGGAATGCTTCCAGATATGCTCCTGCACATCGCTGTTAGGTTGCTTTGCCGGGATAATTGCATGACTCGAGGGGGTCTGGGCCCCTCGCGAGCGCCCAGGAGCCCCCTGGAGCCCCAGGACCGCGGGCGCGGCCCGCGGGCAGCGCGGCCTGCCGCGGCGAGTCACTCGCGGAGCGCGTGCCGGCCGCGACGCGCGGGCCCCGCAATGAGAGGGGAGAAAAGGGGGCCCAGGCCGGGAAAGGAGGGTCCCCCTCCCCCATCAGCCTCTTCCTCCTCCTCCTCCTCCTCCTCCTCCTTCTCCAACTCATTCCTCCTGTTGATTGCCCCCCCCCCCCCCCATTGCGCAACGCCCGAAAACCGTTCGATGTCGGGCGATCCCGGGCCGCGGAGACGGGGCAGGACAAGGCCGTGGAGTCAGGAGGGGGCCGGGGAGGAGGGGATGGAGAGGAGGAAGCGGATTGGGGGGGAGCCGAAGGGGGATGCGAAGGGGGATGCGAGGGGGAAGGGAGGAGCTGAAACGGGAGGCGAGTGGGAAGTCGAGGCGGAAGGAGGAGGAGATGGGGCAGTGGGAGAGGCAACAAAAGGACGACGGGGAACCGTGCATGGGAAGCAGAAGGGAGGAGGGGTGACAGGGGAAGGGGACTGAGTGGACGGGGCAAAAGGGAAGAGGGAAGCGAAACACATAGGAAAGGGAAGGCATCAAAGATAAGAGCGGCGGGGGAAGGGGAGAAGAGGACAGGGAGAACGGGAAAGAAAAGGCAAGAGAAGCGGCACGGGCCTGCGCAAAGAGTAGGGGAGCGAAGATAAGATTGGTGGGTTTAACAAGACACCGAGAAAGGAATCGTGGTCCTGCTGGTTTACAGAGGAGCGTCTTCCCGACAAAGCGCGGCTCTGGAGGCGGCTTAATGTCTGAAAACTTATACTGTGTGTCTCTCTCTCTCTCTCTCTTTCTCTCTCTCTCTCTCTCTCTCTCTCTCTATATATATATATATATATATGTAAATCCCGCTCTCTGTCTCTCTCTCTCTCTCTCTCCCTCCCTTTCTCCTCTTCTCAGTGATTTATGTTTGTGTTGTTCCCAACCATCCTGTCGTGTTGGGTCCTCGTTTTGAAGGGACGGTCCCCGCGTTCCTCCTCCCTCCTTCCTTCTTCCCCCTCCTCCCTCCTCCCTGCGTTTCACCTACCCAGTACAGCGGCTGGTGGCCCCATAGGGAGCCCAACCGAAGCCCAAAGTGGGACCGCCCGCATGCGCCCCAGAAACACAATTTGGCATTTTCACCCACCCAGCACAGCGCTTCGTGGCCTCATAGGGGGCTCCACCAAAGCCCGAAGTGGGACCGCCCGCATGCATCCCCAAAACCCGATTTGGCATTTCACCCACCCAGTGCAGCGCTTGGTGGCCCCATAGGAGGCTCCACCGAATCCCGAAGTGGGACCGCCCGCATGCGTCTCGGAACCCAATTTGGCATTTTCACCCATCCAGTACATCGCTTCGTGGCCCCATAGGGAGCTCCACCGAAGCCCGAAGTGGGACCGCCCGCATGCGTCCCCGAAACCCGATTTGGCATTTTCACCCACCCAGTGCAGCGCTTCGTGGCCCAATAAGGAGCTCCACCGAGGCCCGAAGTGGGACCGCCCGCACACGTCTCGGAAACCCAATTTTGCAATTTCACCCACCAAGTACAGCGCGTCGTGGACCAATAGGCAGCTCCACCGAAGCCCGACAGGGGACCGCCCGCATACGCCCTGGAAACCCGATTTGGCATTTTCACCCACCTAGTACAGCGCTTCGGGGCCCCATAGGAAGCTCCACCGAGGCCCGAAGTGGGACCGCCCGCACGCGTCCCAGAAACACGATTTGGCATTTTTGCCTACCCAGTACAGCGTTTCGCGGCCCCATAGGAAGCTCCACCGAGGCCCGAAGTGGGACCGCCCGCATGCGTCCCAGAAACACGATTTGGCATTTTCGCATACCCAGTGCAGCATTTCGTGGCCCCATAGGGAGCTCCAGCATGCGCTCCAGAAATCCAACTTGGCATTTTCACCCACCCAGTACAGCGCTTCGTGGCCCGATAGGGAGCTCCACCAAAGCCCGAAGTGGGACCGCCCGCATGCGCCCCGGAAAAAACCGAAGTGGGACCGCCCGCATGCGCCCCGGAAACCCAATTTGGCATTTTCGCCCACCTAGTACAGCGCTTGGTGGCCGCATAGTAAGCCCCACCGAGGCCCCAGTGCCACAGCCCGCGTGCGTCCCACACACCCAATGTGGCACACCCTTCACACGTTTCGTGGCCCCATGGGGAGCTCCACCGAAGGCCCCAGTGCCACCGCCCGCATGCGTCCCCCATACCCATTTCGGCACACTCCTCACATCTTTCGTGGCCCCATGGGGAGCTCCACCGAAGGCCCCAGTGCTACCACCTGCATGCGCCCCCCCACCCACTACAGCGCCTTGTGCCCCCATGGGGATCTCCACCGAAGGCCCCAGTGCTACCGCCCGCATGCGCCCCCCCCACCCACTACAGCGCTTCGTGGCCGCATAGGGAGCTCCACCGAAGGTCCCAGCGCTGCCGCCCGCATGCGTCCCCCCCGCCCAGTACAGCGCTTCGTGGCCCTACCGCCCGCCTGGGCCCCCCCGCACCGAGTGCAGCGCTCCGTGGCCCCATAGGGAGCTCCACCGACGGCCCCAGTGCTACCGCCCGCATACGTTCCCCACCACCCAGTATAGCGCTTCGTGGCCCCACAGGGAGCTCCAACGACGGCCCCAGCGCTACCGCCCGCCTACGTCCCCCCCAACCCACCGCAGCGCTCCGCGGCCTCATATGGAGCTCCACCGAAGGTCCCACCCAGTGCTACCGCCCGCATGCGTCCCCCCACCTAGTACAGCGCGTCGTGGCCCCGTAGGGAGCTCCACCGACGGCCCCCATGCTACCGCCTGCATGCGCCACCCCCCGCCCAGTGCAGCGCTTCGTGGCCCCATAGGGAGCTCCACAGGAAGGCCCCAGTGTTACCGTCGCATGCACCCCCGCCCAACACAGCGCCTCGTGGCCCCATAGGGAGCTCCAACGGCGGCCCCAGCGCTACCGCCCGCATGCGCTCCCCCCCGCCCAGCGCAGCGCTTCGCGGCCCCACGGGGAGCTTCGCCGAAGAAGATATTCACAATTGCGGTACCCACAACTGCATCTGGTTGGGTCCTTCGCCAGGATAAGTATCTCTCTCTCTCTCTCTCTCTGTTCCCCCCTCTGTTTCCTTATTTCTTTATCTCTCTGCATCATTATCTCTCCCTCTGTGCGTTCACATGCACGCGATGCATGCGTGAGCACATACATACAAACATAGAAGAAGTACATGATCAAGACTGCCATGGCGTTTCACACCACGCCCCGCCCTGGCCATTCAAGCTTCGCACGCAGGAGGAAAGAGGAAGGAATCGACACATAGAGAGAGAGAGAGAGAGAAAGCACAAATATAGAGACCGATAGGACCACCCTACGGGTGATAAGGAGGTTTGGTGGGAGGGGGAAGCGGTCGATTTGCGATGGCTCTGGGTTCTTCGGTAGTTTCTTCCACTTTCCTATTTCCGCGCACATCTACGCATCGACACCCATCTATGTATATATGTATGTGTACGTGCGTCAGAATATATATATATATATATATATATATACACACATGTATGCATGTATGTATGTTTATATATATATGGGTGCTGGCGTATCCCCGCCCCCCTGAAAAATCGCAGGGCGATGGAAAGCGCTCAATCCAACTCCATTGCACTTCCACTCCTTGCTTGGGAAGGCACAACAAAAGGCTTCTATTGGAAAGCCTCCCATAAAGAATCCTTTGGAAAGCCTCACAGAGGGATTCTATTGGAAATCCCCACATAATGAATCCTTTGGAAAGCGCCACAGAGGGATTCTATTGGAAAGAATCACAATCGGAATCTTTTGGAAAGCACACAAAGGGATTCTATTGGAAAGCCTCACAAACGGAATCCATTGGAAAGCCTCACAATCGGAATCCTTTGGAAAGCCTCACAAAAGGATTCCGTTGGAAAGCACCACAAAGGGATTCTATTGGAAAGCCGCAAGAAGGAATTCTACTGGAAAGCCTCAAAAAAGGAATCCTTTGGAAAGCACCACAGAGGGATTCTATTGGAAAGCCTCACAAAAGGAATCCTTTGGAAAGCGCCACACAGGGATTCTATTGGAAAGCCTCACAAAAGAAATCATTTGGAAAGCACCACAAAAGGACTCGATTGGAAAGCCTCACAAACGGAATCCCTTGGAAAGCATCACAAACGAATTCTATTGGAGAGCCGCAAAAAAAGGAATCCTTTGGAAAGCGCCACAAAGGAATTCGATTGGAAAGCCTCACAAAAGGAATCCTTTGGAAAGCACCACAAAGGGATTCTATTGGAGAGCCGCACAAAAGGAATCCTTTGGAGAGCGTCACAAAGGGATTCGATTGGAAAACCAAAAAACCCCAAAAAACATTGAAAAAACAAAAAAAAACAAAGAAACCAAAGACCCAGGGCTAAAAAACCAAAAAAAACATTGAAAAAAACCTTTAAAACAATATTTCAATACTTACTCCACCTCTCGTCCTCCTCATCCCCCGCCTCCTCCTCCTCCTCCTCCTCCTCCCCTTCCTCCTCCTCCTCCTCCTCTTCATCCTCCTCCTCCTCCTTCTCCTTCTCCTCCTCCTCCTCCTCCTCCTCCTCGCCCCCCACCCCTTAGCCCTCACCTTTCACTCCTCCTCGTCCTCCTCCTC